ACTCTCACATCACTAGTGGAGACACATAAAGCGAGATATACCCAAATAGAAGAATGCGAGAAACAATGAAGGAAACTAGACAAAACATATGCACATAACTAGTTGAGCTACACTATGATGAAGCAAGATACACCTAGGTTCAAGAATGAGATAAATCAAGAATGAAATTAGGCAAAACACATGCACACGACAAGTAGAAGCACACTATGATGACGCGAGATACAACCAAGTAGAAAAATGGTTGAAAGCATTAAGTAAATTACATAGAACACTCTCACATGACTAGTAGAAGCACATTAGAGTGAAGCGAGATACAACCAAGTACAAGAATGCGAGAAACCGAGTAGAAAAGTAGACAAAACTCATACACAAGAGTAGAAGCAACACTCTAGAGTGAAGTGAGGTACAACGAAGTCGAAGAATATGAGAAATGGAGTGGAAAAATTAACAAAATTCATACACAAGAGTAGAAGAAGCACTCAATTGTGAACCGAGATGCAACTAAGTGCAAAAGTGAGAGAAACAAGTAGAAATGTGGACAAAGCACATGCACATCAGTAGAATCAGCACTCAACAGTGAAGCGAGATACAACTAAGTGCAAGAATGAAAGAAACCAAATAGAAAAATAGATAAAGCACATGTATACGAGAAGAAGAAGCAATCTAAAGTGAAGCGAGATACAACCAAGTGCAATAATGAAAAAAATCAAGTAGAAAAGTTGACAAAATAAATGCACATAAGCAAAAGAAGAACTCTGGAGTGCAACGAGGTACAACTAAGTGCAAGAATATAAAACATCATGTAAAAAGCAGACAAAACACATGCATACGAGTATAAGAAGCACTCAAGAGTGAAGCGAGATACAATCGAGTGCAAGAATGATAGAAACTAAGTAGAAAAGTAGATAAAAAAACACTCTAGAGTGAAGTAGACAAAACACATGCAGCTGAGTACAACTCGAAGAAGCACTGCAGAGTTAAGCGAGATACAACTAAGTGCAACAATGAGAGAAACCAACTAAAAAAGAAGACCAACACAAATGCAAACAAGTAGAAAAAACACTATAGGGTGAAGGGAGATACAACCAAGTGCAAGAATGGGAAAAACTAAGTAGAAGTAGTCAAAACACATGCATATGAGTAGAAGCAACACTTTCGAGTGAAGCGAGATACAAACAAGTACAAAAATGGAAGAAATCAAGTAGAAAAGTAGAAAAAACTCATACACATAAGTCAAAAAAGCAATATAAAGTAAAGCGAGATATAACTAAGTGCAAGAATGAGAGAAACCAGGTAGAAAAGTAGACAAAACACATGCATATCAGTTGAAGATGCACTCAAGAGAGAAGCGAGATACAACTAAGTCTAAGAATGGGAGAAACCAAGTAGAAAAATAAACCAAACACATGAACATGAGTATAAGAAGCACTCTAGAGTCAAGCGAGATATAATGAACTGCACAAATGAGAGAAAACAAGTACAAAAGTAGACAAAACACACACACATGAGCAGAAGAAGCACTAAAGAGTAAGCGAGATATAACTAAGTGCAAGAATGAGAGAAGCCAAGTAGAAAAAAAGACAATACACATGCACATGAGTAGAAGAAGCACTCTAGGGTGAAGCGAGATACAACCAAGTGCAAGAATGAGAGAAACTAAGTAGAAGAGTAGACAAGACACATGCATATGAGTAAAACTACTCGAGAGTTAAGAGAGATATAACCAACTGCAATAATAGAAGAAACCAAGTAGAAAAGTGGACAAAACACATGCACGTGAGCAGAAGAAACACTCTATGGTGAAGCGAGATATAGCGAGTGCAAAAATGAGAGAAACTAAGTAGAAACGTAGTCAAAACACATGCATAAAGTCGAAAAATCACTCTAGAATGAAGCAAGATAAAACCAAGTGCAAAAATAAGAGAAGCCAAGTAGAAAATTAGACAAAGTATATGCATATATGTAGAAGAAACACTCCAGAGTGAAGTGAGTTACAAGTAAGTGTAAGAATGCGATAAACATTCATGGAGGTTTTCTAACTCCTTTACTTAAATCTTGAATGTCTCCCAAAAGAAAGGCGAAGAAAAAGATGAAGGGGGTACAGAAGAAGAGGAAGAAGGGAAAGAAGAAGGTAGAGAAGAATGTGAATATGAAGAAGAAAAAGAAAAAGAAAAAGAAAAAGAAAAAGAAAAAGAAAAAGAAGAAGAAAAAGAAGAAGAAAAATAAGAAGCAGAAGAGAAATGCTCCTCCATTCCCACTCGCTTCTCTTTGTCACTTTGATAGTTGGTATTGACAAAATGAAACACTTCTTTGTAGGAGGGTTGTTTTTCTTAATCCCTCTCTCTCCTTTCTTAGCTATGATATTCTCCCTTCTCAAAACTCTCATCTTTCACCTTCTCTTTAACTTGATGTAACTCTTGTTGTTCTCTCCCTCCTTCTTATGTCCTCTCCCTCCTTCTTATGTCCTCCTCCCTCATGCTCAACAAACTCCCTCCTTTGTCTCTCTCTGACTATTGTCACCAACTAACTCTAAGGCTATGGAGTCCTCCTTTCTAGAAGGGCTATGGGGACTTCCTCTAGCCTTCATTCTTTTCCACAGTCTGGAGGCTACGACGAAGCACCTTCCTAGGTAAGTGCTACTTCTCTCAATCCTATTAGCTTCTTCCACTCGCCTGGAGTTTCTCGTTTAGCTCTAAACTCGTATCAGTTCCCCTCCTCTCACTTCGATTGAGCTTAGAGTTCTCCTTGGTGCATTGGGGAAGGATGTGCTTACCTCATGTAAATGTGAGTGGGACGGGTTGTCCCTTGGCTTAAATAGGTTGGATACATTGTTCCGCCCAACCTTAGGTTTTTCCCATCTGCTTCAAGTGAGCCGGGGTGCCCCCAAGACCTCCCACCACCAATGGACCTCCTCCGGAAGCACCTCGACCTTATTTTGGCCAATTACATGTAGCTCGAGTGGTTGGTACCAAATCGGACAACCTTTGGAGGCACTTCATGTTGTACTTTCATCTGCAGATGTTGTTCACTAGATCCGGATGATCAATGAATAACCTTTCTTAAAACAATAATGTCTTTTGGGCCGCTACTCAAATTTTCTCAATATGAGTTGGCTGAGGTACACCTTGTACCTCGGTACATCCCAAGCTACATATCTGGCTAAGATTTGTGGCCAGATTTAATCCGAACTAGCCTTAAGTGGTCCTTGCATCATGTTGGAGCCTCAATGGCTCTTTCTTTTAATTTCAGGTGCATCTGGCCTCAATTTTTAGCCAAATACATTATTTTGTTTTGTTCCTTCTTTCGTTTCTTTCCATTTTGGGCTGCCAATGCATTCCGGAGTTGGCCATTTGAGTTGGCATCACCAAAAACAACCAACTCATCTTGTCCCTTGGTCAGAATTTAAGGCCCAAATAAAAATCAGTCCCTACACTTTTCTTTTTCTTATCTTTTTCTTTCTTAAATTCGGGAACTTGAGGCCATATCTCTTTGCTCCCGATTCACCACCACTTAATCCAGAATGCATATGTCAGCGTAGGGACCTGACAGTCTCTACTTTGTCAGTCCCTACCTAATGATCAACTCACCCCTACCTCTTTCTGTCGTTTTGTCTTATTCTCCGTCTTTTTTCTCCTTTTTTTTTCTTTTATTTCTATCATGACAAGGGTCAACTACCTAGGCTCCAGATCTTGATCCACATCTAGATCATTATCTACTAGTAGTCCGAGATTTCTCGGACTGCAATAATGGCACCCCCACATGTGTGGGGGCTCCATTTTGTCTCCGTTAGTTGAAATTATAGCCCCCCCTTGCTCCGATTTACGATTGGTGGCTCGTTTTTTTAGTAGAGTCACTCAAGGTTTTATTTCCCCTCACCTTGTTGGTCCGGCGTATCTAGGACTGCTCCCTATGCCTCTCTTCTTTGTTTTTTTTCCTCCCTTCTCCCGAAACTTCTCTCTTTACACCTACCCAATTAGATATAAATATAACGAGAAACATTGTTCCAATAAATGGAATCCAAGGTCCATATTCTGATTCTCCAATTTTGTTTTTCGTAAGATATCGTATAAATTCTAATATATACTCTATGAAATTTCAATTTTGAGTTAGTATAAATTGCAAATTTTTAGTTGCTAAAAAAGTAAGTCCAATTACAATTCATGAACTTCATGAAGTAATTAAGGTATGTACATGTACTTCAAAGTTATTTATTTTCCCATACAAATGTTGTCCTACTTCTACAACAGCGATCTGATACTCTAATAATTCTTAAATGTAACATTAGATTATACATTGTTTGCTTCCTCTCGAAAAATATTACTAAATAATATTTATAAATACATATTATTCAGTAATGATATATCTATTATATAATAATATCATATAAAAAACATAATACAATATAATCATAAAATAAATTAAATAGAAAAAAAAAATCAAATTATATATATATATAGGTTACCAGTCGTCCGATGGTCGGATGTCTCCCCCAACCGTTCGGTAGGGGGGTTGTCCGGGATCCCAGACAACCACTTTTAGGCAATAAAAAAAAATAATAATAAAAAAATTGGGATGTTCTTGCGCAAGACAAGGAGATCCCCCTAAAAAAATTTGGGGTGATTTGGAGCATTTCTGGGAAAAAAAATGTTTTTGGGGGTGCGAGGGGTTTGGGGGGGTGTTGTGGGGTATATGGAAGGGGGGGGGTGATGGAGTAGGCGGATGCAGCTGGTGTTGCATGTACTGATGCGTCTGCAACACTTGCTGCATGTCCATACACCCACATCCACACACATATGTGCCGTACAACACACACGCACACACACACACACACACACACACACACACACACACACACACACACACACACACACACACAGTGATTGATTGCGCTATGGCGGGTATGAAGCCCGCGGGCTGGCGAAGTGGTGGGCGGGACGCAAGGGGGAACGTACGAGACTGGGGCACAGGCGGGCGGAACGCAGTCGGTGAAACGGGTCGGCGGAGGGAGGGGGAGCTTGCGGGAGCCGTGGGGAGCGGGCGTACACGTGTCAAGCGGCGATGGCGAACGGGAAGGAAGAAGGAAAAGAAGAGGAAGTAGGAGAAGAAGGAGAAGAAGATGAAGAAAAAGGAAAAAAGAAAAGAAAAGAAGAGGGAGTAGGAGAAAAAGGACAACGAGGAACGACGACGGAGGAGGTAGAGGAGGAGGGGGAGGAGAAGGACGAGGAGGACGAGGAGGAGGAGGAGGTGGCGATGGAGGTGGAGGAGGACAAGGTGATGGAGGCGGAGGATGGTTCCAACGTCGAGGACGATGAGTCGGAGATGGCGAATAGGAGGACGGTGCGATGGAGGAGGAGGAGGAGGGGGAGGAGGAGGAGGAGGAAAAGGAGACGATGGAGGGAGAGGAGGAGGACGAGGAGCAGCCGACGAAGGTGGAGTCGGAGGAGGACTTGGAGGAGGAGGAGAAGGAGGACGGGGTGACGAAGAAGAAGAAAAAGAAGAGAAGAAGACGAAGAAGAGGAGGAGGAGGAGGAGGAAAAGGAGACGATGGAGAAAAAGACGAGGCGAAGAAGGCGAAGAAGGCGAAGAAGAAGAAGAGGAGGAGGAGTTGGAGGAGGAGGAGGAAGAGGACGAGGCGACGAAGAAGAAAAAGGAGAAGAAGAAGAAGAAGAAGAAGAAGAAGAAGAAGAAGAAGAAGAAGAAGAAGAAGAAGAAGAAGAAGAAGAAGAAGAAGAAGAGGAGGAGGAGG